AGATAGATAGATAGATAGATAGATAGATAGATAGATAGATAGATAGAAAGAAATATATATTCAAACCGGATTCCAAAAAAGTTGGGACACTAAACAAATTGTGAATAAAAACTGAATGCAATGATGTGGAGATGGCAAATGTCAATATTTTATTTGTAACATAACATAGATGACGGATCAAAAGTTTAATCTGAGTAAATGTAACATTTTAAAGGAAAAATATGTTGATTCAAAATTTCACAGTGTCAACAAATCCCAAAAAAAGTTGGGACAAGCAGCAATAAGTGAATGGCAAAAGGAAATTGAGCATATAACGAACAGCTGGAAGACCAATAAACACTAATTAGGTCAACAACATGATTGGGTATAAAAAGAGCTTCTCAGAGTGTCAGTGTCTCTCAGAAGCCAAGATGGTAAGAGGATCACCAATTCCACCATTGTTGCACAGTAAGATAGTGCAGCAATACCAGAATGGTGTTACCCAGCATAAAATAGCAAAGACTTTTAAGTTATCATCATCAACCATGCATAACATCATCAAAAGATTCAGAGAATCTGGAACAATAGCTGTGCGTAAGGGTCAAGGCCGTAAAACGCTAATGGATGCTCGTGATCTCCGGGCCCTTAAATGTCACTGCACCTCAAACAGGAATGCCACTGTCAAGGAAATAACAGAATGGGCTCAGGAATACTTCCAGAAAGCATTGTCAGTGAACACAATCCACCGTGCCATCTGCCGTTGCCAGCTGAAACTCTACAGTGCAAAGAGGAAGCCATTTCTAAGCAAGCTCCACAAGCTCAGACGTGTGCACTGGGCCAGGGGTCATTTAAAATGGAGTTTGGCAAAATGGAAGACTGTTCTGTGGTCAGATGAGTCACGATTTGAAGTTCTTTATGGAACACTGGGACGCCATGTCATCCGGACCAGAGAGGACAAGGATAGCCCAAGTTGTTATCAATGCTCCGTTCAGAAGCCTGCATCACTGATGGTATGGGGTCGCATGAGCGCTTGTGGCATGGGCAGCTTGCATGTCTGGAAAGGCACCATTAATGCAGAGAACTATGTTCAGGTTCTAGAACAACATATGCTCCCATCTAGACACCATCTCTTTCAGGGAAGACCCTGCATTTTTCAACACAATAATGCCAGACCACATTTTGCAGCAATCACAACATCATGGCTATGTAGGAGAAGGATCTGGGTACTGAAATGGCCAGCCTGCAGTCCAGATCTTTCACCTATAGAGAACATTTGGCGCATCATAAAGAGGAAGGTGCGACAAAGAAGGCCCAAGACGATTGAACAGTTAGAGGCCTGTATTAGACATGAATGGGAGAGCATTCCTATTTCTAAACTTGAGAAACTGATCTCCTCTGTCCCCAGACGTCTGTTGAGAGAAGAAGGGGGGATGCCACACAGTGGTAAAAATGGACTTGTCCCAACTTTTTTGGGATTTGTTGACGCCATGAAATTTGGAAACAACAGATGTTTCCCTTAAAATGATACATTCTCTCAGTTTAAACTTTTGATCTGTGGTTTGTGTTCTATTCTGAATAAAATATTAGATGTTGGCACCTCCACATCATTGCATTCAGTTTTTATTCACAATTTGTTTAGTGTCCCAACTTTTTGGAATCCGGTTTGTACATACATATACACTGCCTGGCCAAAAAAAAAAAATCGCCACCAAAAAAAAAAAAAAAAGTCACATGCTAATATTTCATTGGACTGCCTTTAGCTTGTATTACGGCATGCATTCGCTGTGGCATTGTTTCAATTAGCTTCTGCAATGTCACAAGATCCATTTCCATCCAGTGTTGCATTTGGGGGGAGTGGTGGCACAGAGGTTAGAAGATGGGCCTGTGATCGGAAAGTCGCAGGTTCAACTCCCGGTACCGTCAAAATCAAAATGTGGGTGGAAAAGGTGAAACACCCACACCTGCCTCCACCCTCATTCGCCCCACTCTGGGCCCCTAAACAAGACCCTTAACCCCTACCATCTGCTCCCTAAACAGGTCTCTCTTGAAAATGAGTTATTGTGGCTCAATGAGACTAGCTGGATAAATAAAGGATAAATGAAATAAAAGAAAAAAAAAATAATTTTTCACCAAGATCTTGCATTGATGACTAGGCACTAGGCACGATGGGTACATCACTTCACCTGCCTCTCTTCTTACCCTGATGCGCCCAACACTCTGAAACAGGGTAAATCTGGACTCATCAGACCACATGACCTTCTTCCATTGCTCCAGAGTCCAATCTTTATGCTCCCTAGCAAATTGAAGCCTTTTTTTTCTGGTTAGCCTCACTGATTAGTGATTTTCTTAAGACTACACAGCTGTTCAATCTCAATACAGGACTATTTATGAGGAAGCAAGCTTTAGTTCTTTCTTTTGGTCTGGTCAATTTTGGTATGGAGTTAGAATGTTGTGTCAGAACCCCCAAGTCCTGAAATAATAACTACTTGTATGGGTTAATTCCCTTTCTTTTTCAAACAACATGTAGAAAGAAGAAAGAAAAGAAAAAAGAAAGTGCTATGTGTTGTCATCATTGTACGTTTCCATACAATGATTAAATTAGTTTTTATCCTTCACACGAGATACACCCAGGTGGAGCAGTGGGCGGCTATGTAAGAACCCAAGAAGCAGTTAGGGATTAGGTGTCTTGCTCAAGGACACCACAACATGTGGGCATGGCGGGGAGTTGAACCTGCGACTTTCTGGTCCCAAGTCCTCTGCCCTTCCTCTACACCACAGCAAATGCAATATAATTTAAATATGAATTAAGTATGCATAGAGGACTGACGCATAGCGTAATATAGTTTACTGTCTTTCACTTAGTTCAAGTTTTGTAGTCTAAATGTATAATTCAATCTAAATTATATCTTTGTCTTAGCAAATACATCCAAGAATCTGGTCCTGAATGAGTCAAGTTTCACACTTTTTACTCAGTTTAAAAAAAAAACTGAGTCATGAAAGGACAGGAAAATCTTGTTTGTTCTTTTTAAAATTCCCGGTCCAAGCTAATATGTTGCTGTGGTAACAAACGTAACAGGCAGCTTTAGGGTAACACTGTGACCTTAAAGGAAGGTATGTAAACACCACTTTATATTCTCCGGCTGGCCCTGCCAGAAAGAAGGCCTGGGAAAAATGTCTGCATGTGCAGGAGATTTGAAATAAATATCCAAGCCCCCTATTGTGGAGCTCCAACAAAGACGAGTATCTTAGTAACACCAAACGGGTTTGCTCGGCGAGACGTTTTCTCAACCCTCCAACGCCGCCTCCTCCTCCTCCACAATAAACACACTTCTCATCATCGGCGGGTTAGGGCTTAGGATGAGATTGATGAGGAGTTTCTTTAACTACCAGATGAAACCTGTTGGCCCTTCGCTGGGTCAGTCATGGGGTCAAACTTGTTCCAACTCGTTTCAGGATCAAAAACATTTCAATACTGGTTAGGGCCAAAAGACTATTCACTGCCAAGCATGCTTGCCGCAATTTAATTAGTCTTTTTACAAACCCCACATTAATGAAAACCTTTGCAGGTTTCCTAAAATTCAAAACTTACATTAATTATCAGTAACTACAGTTATGGTTCAGAATAAACAATTTGTTTGACTAAAGATAAAGAGACAGCTAAATAACGCTAAACTAGAAATAGAAAAGAAGGTTGTCACAATCAAAAGTTTTAGTTTTTACCCACATCAAACTTGAGTAAAAAATTGCTTCAGAATATCAAATGTGCATTTTTCTTAAGATGTTTGAGGTCCTTTGAAGGACTGAGCTCACGCCACGTATGGCAAAATATAATTACACTGTAATCTGTTAATGGTGTGAACAGTGACAAATTCAACCATAAATTATTATTTAAAGCCTAATAAGTAGTTTTATCTACCCCAAATATAACTTGGCAACTATTTTATGTGAAAGAAACAACTAAAGCACTGTAAAAAATGACTCTCGTTATGATAACAAGAAACTTTGTTGCCTGAAGTGACACAGCTTTAAAGCAAGGATTTGAAAACACAGCCATAAAGCAGGAAACATTTTACAGCAGCAACTAAACCTAGATCATAACACTCGACATCACAACCCTTAGTCCTTCGGATTCATCCACAATTTGAACAATTTGTTAAACTGTTAATCACTCGGGTGACAGAGCCTCTAAAGAGTGGAACATTAAAAAAACACACATTACAAAAAATATATATATATCTGCATTTACATCCTTATTCTGTTGGCGTCTTTTAGTACATCGTCAAAAGTAAACACAGCCACATGAAAAGGCTGACTTACAGCGTTAGTAGTGAAGTTCATCATTTACTTCATTTCCGCAGTCAAAGGGACCTCGCAGTGCAACAACATAAGCCGAGGAGGTTAACATGTCACATAAAACCTTATAGCATCTTGGTCTAATGCTATTATTGGATGAAAGGCTAAAATTGCATTATAAAAACTTAGATTGAAGTTTTACGTTCCCTTTGCTGTCAGCCACACTATTTCCTTTACAGGCAGCTCACATTTTGGGAGCTAAACAGCACTGTCACCCCCACCTCTTCTCCCTTCTTTAGCGTACACAATATACACCTAGAAGTGCCGCTCAACACTGAACAGTGCTTCCTTTGAGTAAATTTTTGAAAGTTATGTTGCAAGAAACAGTCTTGCTAAAATGAAAAAAATAACAAAAAAAAAGGAGAAACGTGAAAGAGGCCCTCGTCCTGCTTCCAGCACATCAGGATCTGCCATCTACTGAAGAAATCCAATCGAAACGAATTAGTGGACTGAAAAAGAAAAAGAAAATGTCTACAGAACTGACTAATTTTTATGTGCTTTGGCCAGAAGGGACATAAACCAGAAAGGTTTCAAACTGTGACACAGGATAGAGGTGTATTAAAAGTAAATCTTTTCCTCTCCATTTTGCAAGACACTATTGTCCTGTCGTGTTTCTGCAACTTTATGGACTTTTGGGACACAAGCTCCCAGCCTTTTTTTTTCTGATGGGGAGTAAGGGGAGGAGGGTAATCAATTAAACGAGGAAGTTCGCTGAGCCTTACAACTCGATTATTAGCCTGTGCTTTTGAAGTTTTATTTTAGGAGGCTGGGGAGGGGGTGACAAGGAATCAGGCTTTAAATCAGTGGGGCCGATGCAGCAGTGTTGAAGCGTTTGCAGCCTATGGCCTTATTGAAAGAGTTTGTCAGGATGTGGCGCTGAGCGAAGACCAGATTCAGACTTTCATGGTTAATGAGCTTTTTGCCGTGGCATTTACAGTCGGTTGTGCGAGTCAAAGAAAGGGCAAAGACTAGGCACCTGCTGCTGCTGCTGATTGTTAGGAGGAAACTTCTTGCATTGGGGATTTTTGCATTTATATATGTGAATATTAAATGATAGAATTTTACAAAAAAGCTTTTCTATTTTTCTAACATTTAAAAAAAGGTTGACCCTAAGCTGATAGTGAAAAATCAAACAAACAACAAAACAATATGACAGTTTCTAGAAGTTCAGACTTTGAAAGTCATTAAACTGCACCTCCAAATTTGTCTAACATGCTTTCTTGACACTACCTGGGTTAAAAGAGAGAAGAAGAAAAAATGCACATATAAAGAAACAAATATTTCCATAATATTTAAAACTGTTCTTTTGTACCTTTTTTGATCCAGCAAATCCCTCAGACTCCAAGAAGAAATATGCAAACGGCATCAGGACAAAAAGGCAAAGGTTGGAGAACAGCGACACAAGGTTCCACAGACCTGCAGGAAACAGAACACATTTATAGCAGCTCATACAAATACATAGATTATGTATCAGTTATTCTACTTTAATAGAAACATGAGCCATTTAGTCTTGATTTTTATAAAGTTTTGTAAAGCCAGTTACAAATCACATTTCATGCATGCTCTTGATCATTTTGAAGTTATGGGCTCTACTGCCACCTGGTGGATGATAGAACATACTAACACATCAAAAGTGAATTCACACTACACTCAAGAGCACAAGCCAGGAAATATTTACTGTCAGACACAAATATTTTGTTTAAGGATAACTCTCATCACTTCATTATTACCATGCCTCATTCTGATTTAGTTTATTATGGTAAATATTTATGATAGTTTCTTTCTTCGTGATTTACACATCAATATTTAAAATAATTTTGGGGATAAATAAACTATGAAATTAAATTCCTTTCATTATACTGTGAACACTAATACTGCAAACAGTATGTAAAACAATAACTTTGTATATTTAAGATTGGATAAAATGTAACTACCATCAGATTATTGTGTGAAGCGCCTACAGCGACCTGCATGCATGGTTTGTTTACAGAAGTAAATGTCAAAATCAAATAATCATGTAAGCATGTGTGTATCAATTCTAAAGTTATTGTGCAATCTGAGCCACCTAAGGTATTATCTGTCACACTTGTTGTGTCCAATGTTAATATTTGATGTTGCTGATTACGGGCGGCTACTCTGACACAGGATTGAACTTCTTGAACGGAAGTGACATACTGAAAGTTGAAACAAACTCAAGTATCATTCCCATCACATTAGTATCGATGTGGTCCAACAATAATGTTGGTATCATATGTTGCTAAATAAAAGACAAAACAACTGGACTGAAGCCTTCAGTTCCTAGCTGGTATCAATATTATAAATACTTGAATCAATCCGCATAACCCTACCTTACTGACATAAAAGTCAGATGAACTCACAGATTAAACAAAAAGGGCAGCGCCTCCCATGAGGCCGCAGCCTGAGAAAACTTCCGTCTCCCCATGTCTGTTTGTTTGCGTTTTATTTGGACGGGCGGAACTGAACTGTAATTTTGTTGTGCTTCGGTGCAATGACAATAAAGCTGATTCTGAAATGCAACATTGACATTGAAACATATCAGGTATGCATCTGATTCTGTACAGTGTTTTCCCTACCGTTATCCAAGGAGGGCACCCCGCCATGTCAACAGAACCGAGCACCCTGCCAACTTAAATGTCCTTCACCCACAACTCCCCATACCCTTACCCCACCCCATCGATAACTGCTAGCACTGACGTAGCACTACACTAGCAGCGTGCAATACAGACAAGCTAGATAAAACACTACAGACGTAGCACTGTGCTTCACTCACGCATCCCCCCAGTGAATGAATGAATAAATGAATGAATAAATAAATAAATACTGATTTGTCACATTCAGACTATCATAAAAAATCTGATTTGGGTTGCATATGGGCAGAACATCTGGTTTGGGCCACTTTGTTTGAAGTGTGAATGTAGCCCAAGTATTAGTGATCAAATAGAGTAGTGGTGGGCTCAGTTAACCAAAATGTTAGCTTTGCTAACCCATATTCCGCTAACTAAAAAGTTATCTTTGTTAACCCAAAAAAAGTTCAATCTGGTCCTCTGGACATTCAAAAAACAAAAAAACAAAAAACAAAGCAAAAAAAATGTTTCTACATTTTTTTTCCTTTTTTTTTTTTTGAATGTCCAGAGGACCAGATTGAACTTTTTTGGATTTTTCTACCTGGATTATTGAGCATGTATCAGGATATCTTTGCTAACACTAAACTGTTAAGCAGTTAAAATAATAAGCAAAACCTAACGCTAACTGCTAAGACGAGTGTCACGCACTCTGCGTCACGTCTTTGTCTAGCTAGGTGCTGCTGCGTCGACCAATCTTGTCTCGTCACGTGTATGCGTAGTAAGCAAATAGTGTGCCTAACGGACTCTTCGAGACACTCCCACAACAGACAGAAACAAACTTGTGAATTTGGTTAGCGAACTTACAGTTGGCAAAACCTAACAGTGATTTAGCGGAAGCTAATTGGTCCGCTAACGGTTTCTAAAGTAAGTGAAAATGCTAATCCACTAAACAAAAAAATTAGTTACGTTATTTACGGATTAGCCAAATCATTCCCACCACTGAAATAAAAGGTTAAAAAATAATTATCCAAAATAACCCAAACAGATCCAAACTGTGAGATCTACTGACCATGAATGAGTGAGCCATTGAGAAACTGGATGTAATAGTTTCTGGGGAAGGAGAGGAGGATCTCATTGCTAATGATTGAGAAAGGCAGTAGGAAGACAGCACCACCGGACACTGCCAGTGTGAAGGTGCACAGGTATAATCTGAAAATAAAATCAAAACACAGAATCTGTTAAAAACAGTTTTGAATAAGATTAAGTTGCAACTGTTTGCATGCTGAAGAATTCATCAGTATGACGTTCTTTTTTTTTAAAGTAACTTGTTTTCAAGTTTGGCAGGGAGAAGAGAGGGAAAAGAAAGAGCAACATAAATTCATTTAGTAACAGAAACCATTTAAATAACAATGAACTGCCAGTTCATTGTCAATCTATATTTTTAATCAGCTGACTCATCCTCCAATTCACCTTTGTCCATTTCCCAGAACAAAGAGACTGGCAGCGTTCCAGAAGTCTGTAAGGATTCGGAGGCAGATGCTAAACAGACTGGACCTGGTGGAGTCAGTCAGTTCAGTCGGCTCTCAAGTTCACCAGTTGACCATTTTATTAAAAAAAGCTTTTTAAATCTAAATACTTTATATTATTGGACAGGACCCCATACAAATATTTCCTTCTGCACAAATGGGAAATAAATGAGCAAGCAGTTAAATGAGGCTACAACAGACAATGACTTCTTCAAAGTCTAAGTAATTTGTTAATAATAATAATAATAATAATAATAATAATAATAATAATAAGGCTGCCGTTGCTTAACGTTTCAATACGTCTTTATTATTTTCTAAAATTCTCTTTTCTAAAATTGAGAGAATCTTCTGAAAATGCAGTTGAAGGTGAGCAGTGGTAGTGGAAAAGACGGTCTTCCCCAAGGACACATGCTTTTTTTGTTTTTTCAATCCTGTGACTGCATTAAAGATTTAATTTAATGTGAATAAAAATAGGCTACATACTAATTCCCAAAACATCAGGAAAATCAGCAAAGTCGAACCAAAACTAAGGATCAACAAACCACATGTATCACCCAAAAACCAGAAGGCTTGCACCACATCCACAAGTAACTTTCCACGCATCCTTATCAATAACAAAAACCTTTAATGTTTCTTTTCATCTAAGATTAACAGCTCAGGTCTGTAAATGTTATAAACAGACATCATGACAATCAGTCAAATGTGGCACAACCATTTGATTTCTCCCTTTGAACAGTTTTAGAGGTACATAATGTAATTAAAGGTATGGACTCTTAAAAAAAAAAAAAAAATCAGCAGGTCCAGATCACCTGGAGGATTTTTTTTCTTCTGAAAACAAGCTGTTGATTATATTTTGTCTTGGCTGACATATCACATCACATTCCCTCTGCTCAAGCCAAATCCCTTTGATTTGGAAGTCTGCCTTTGTGCTTCCCCTCACAAGCCCATTTCCAAGCTGTCTGTATTGGCCAAGATTCTGAATAACTGAAAAACTTTTTAAATCTTTAACATTTTTTTAACTGACTTGCAGTGTGGTTTTAGTGTAATGCACAGTACTACTACAGAAACTTTAAAAGTATTAAATGATTTTATTGTTTTTGTTGTTTTAATAAAAAAGCAACACTGTGCAGCTCTTTTAATTGATTTATCAAAGCCTTTGCGACTTTCCTTCCCTTCATTGACTTATTTACGTGAACGCCCCTACAAGCTCCTTGCAGATGTTGGACGCTGTCTATCATGGTGCACTAAAATTCATAACTAGCTGTACCACCATTGCACCCTGTATTCACTGGTTAACTGGCCATCATTAACTTCACACAGACTCTCTCACTGGTACATTTTAATATTTAAATCACTCATTGGTCTGTTGCCTTCATCTCCTCCTACATGTCACTGTGTGAGTGCAGCTACAGCGTGCGCTCTCAGGACATTATTATATGCAGTGTTCCCTCAGTGCGGACTTAACTAGGCAAAAGGACCTTCTCCTACTCTGCTCCTGTTTACTGGAATATCTTGCAAAAAGATCTGAAGCTCTCAACCTTGACCTCTCTAAGTGGTTTCAAACAACTGTTAAGTTCATGGTAGAAACCAACGCAGACATGTTCCTGTTTTTAGTATTCTACATCACTTTACATCGTAGCCGTTTTTGTTTCGTTTTTAATATCAATTTTTTTCATTTATTTTTCCCAATTTACCAGTATACGCCTTCTTCTATGACTATCTACTTTTGTCATCATTCTTTGTTAAAATCGGGTCTCTCTTGTAAAAAAGTCCTCGAGGCTCAATGAGACTAACCTGTATAAATAAAGGTTGATTGAATGACACAGATGACCATGAAATTTTGTTGAAAAGGCTCCTTGACAATGGACTACTTCAGCAAGAAATGAAATGGTTTAACTACTTATCTAACAGGTCCCAGTGTGTGCAGGTGGAAGGTCTTTCTTCCACTTGGCTTCAAATATCCAAGGATGTTCCACAAGGCTCTTTCTTAAGTCCTCTTCATTTTATAATCTATATTAACAATTTAGATAAAAATGTGCCACATGCTAATTTTCATTTTAATCCTGATAACCCTTTATTCTATTGTTCTGCAAACAAAGTGCTTTTGAAAATCGACAAACAGCTGTTAATGTGGTGCAATGTGGCAATCTGGGTGACCTAAAACTTGTTTTGAATGCTGATAAATCTCAAGTAATGTTGTTTTGTAATACAAGACTATGTTTAAACCACAGCTGTTACCGTCCATTATCACTTTTCAAGGCTCACAGATTGAAGTACCGGTAGTATCTCAGTATTAATGGGTTTTATTATTGATGAATCTCTGGCTTTTGTTCCTCACAGTCAACAGCTGGTAAAAAAAGTAGAAGCTAAATGGGGTTTTATGTTGTTGTTTTTTTCTTTCTTTTTTCATAATTAGATCTTGTCTATCTTCCGAGACAAGAAGATGTCTCGTCGCCACCAAATTTGGGCCCATCTTAGACTACAGAGACGATTTATATGCACATATCCCCTCACTGGTCGCATACATTGGACTCTATATATCAGGGAGCCTTATGTTGTATCACTGGTCTTGGAGCCCTTAGCCACCACTGTCTTCTGTATACGGATGGCCTGCCTTATCCACCTGCAGATTCTATCTTTGATATAACCTTATTTACCGTACAAAGCCATCATGGGTTTATTTCCTCCTTACCTCCTGTTCTTTGTTTTTAGAAAATCTTGGTCATTTCCTGTGCTCAGATTAGTTAATTTTATTAACCGTACCCAAGACTCATGCTGATCACGGGCAAAACATCGTTCCAGTTTGTTGCACCCTCAGAATGGGATCAACCGCAGAAAAACTTTAAGTAGAAGGATTTAGTCTCTTAATGTTTTTAAGGTCACTCAATCAGTTTGTAAATTAGGCTTTTGTTTGTAAATGTTTTAACTGATATTGAATTCTATTTTAGTCCCATTTTAAATTTGAATGGGTGTTTTTTTTCCCCCTCTTTCTTATTTACCATTATGTATTTTAATTGTTTTTGATATATGTGGTTTTATGATTGGCAATTGTCTGAGTGCTGCTGCCATTCTTGGCCAGGTCTTTCTTGGAAAATTTTATTTTTAATCTCAATAAGATCTACCTGATTAATAAAAGTTTAATAATAATAATATTACAGCTTTTACAGAACGTGAATAAATCTGAACAAACCTCAATATCATAAGCTGTATAGTTATGTCTATGACAAACTAAAGTGGAAAGCCATCCTCCCCCATTTCATGACATCTATGGATCAATACTCATTCTGTAAAATTTTATTCTGGTCTTCAGGTTCACCATAACAAAAGAGTCAGTGAATATTTGTGCTAATTTGTTTCTAAAATGGTCTTATTTGCATAAGTTTCTATGGTTTGTTTTCATCGTTTACAGAAATAAAAAGGAGTGATCTATTAATGTTCAGAAGACTCAATTTGTGAAAGTCAAACCACTTTCTTTCATTGTCAACTAGCCATTTAATTTATCTTTTGAAAGATATTCTAGTGATAGATAAGAAAAATAGTTTCCTTCAAACAACTCCAAGGCATTATCGTCCATGTGTGCATTTGGTAATTTGGGAAAAACGATAGCAGTTTTTTAAGGATATCTACACCATTCTTTGATTAAACTGGCATTACCCAATGAGATAACAAGGTTCAATTGGAACAGGTTGGACTGATCAAACTTTGGCAAGAGCATGACATCAGCCTCATTTGATTGATTAAAAACACTTTTTTTCCACCACCACCGAGATATTTCACCCAGTGTTACAAGATAGGAGTGCCGTTTCACTAATTTAGTCATGAAAATGGGCATATCAGCAAATACAAGATACCATAGTCTTTACAACAGATTAAAACATTATTAAAAATTAACAGCCACAGACTGAAAAATAAACAAGGTCTTATAAAATAAACATTTTCTTGGCCTGTGGGAAAATAAACAAAATAAATAAAATGGCATTGTTTGTATCAATTCCTTAAAGGAATAACTATTTATTGAAGTGGGAATATAGTGGAGCACTTTTGAGTTGTTTGCATTTTTACCAGCAATAGACAAGAGATCAAGAATTTCAAGAAACAAAGTTTTTTTTTAATTGAAGTTCAGCTCAATCATATATGTAAATATATTTGCTTAGAAAAGCCATTTTGATCATATCAATCAATCAAAAAATAAGATTTATTCACTCACTTTTATTATAGCAATTACTTAGTCAGCATTTTTTAAAGTAGAGTTCTTTGTTAAAATTTTAAATGTTTTTTTCATATAGAAAAAAAAAAGAATTTTGTGTCACTTACGATATTCTGTTGACAATAGCATCTTCATCCTCGTGATCATCTGTAAAATAGCAAATTCACTTCAATCATAAACCATGTTATTAGAAGTCAATGTCAAACTGAGAAAGTACAAACACTTTCGCTTGTATTTTTTATTTTAGAATTCCTGTTTGTTGTGATTTAGTTAAGTTTTAAATTAGCTTTTGTCTCATCTTGAGGAAACTACAGACTCACACATCATAGTACCACTATTCTTCAATATCTGTTTATAGCACCCAAAGGTTTAGATCAACTTTAGATTAGAGAATTAAACCTGTGCTCTTAATGTTCCTATAATAATATGTCAGATATTTTTCTACTAAAGTCAGTCAAAAAATTATACATATTTTAATATTATACTGAAACAAAATGTGCAGGTACTCCCAACCGCTGAGTGTTTAAAAAAAAAAAAAAAAGCAGACATGGTTTTTACTGAGCACAATCAGGACCTCTACTTGGTCTACTTGCAAAGGGAGAAAATACTTTGAAGTGAACTTGACAAGGTATAATTAATCCAAAAGAGGAAAATGTTGCCCTATATCAATTATTTTGCTCTGTTTGATTCTTGCTTTTTCAGATTTGTTCATCTTTGTGCAGATTAAAATGTGTCAACAATAACAAGAGTTTTTGCGACCAACTGCAGTCATGCTTTGGCAGCTGCAGTGATATTACGGGTGGATAAAGTTCATAATGACAAAGCTAACAGTGGCAGATTACTGTACAGGGATGGGTGCAGCCTCACCCGTATACACTTGAACTCTTTTTAATAATGACTCTATTTCAATCTAAACACAATGACGAGCTCTGTCTTTGAGCAAACATAGAATAAACAGATATAACAGAGACTTAACTAGTGTGAACTTTTTTTCAGCGATATTTCAGGTATCTCTTGTAAATGAGTCCTCGAGGCTCAGTGGGATTAACCTGTCTAAATAAAGGTTGAATGAATTTCTGCTGTGTAGATGTAGAACAAGTCCCACAAAAATGTTGTCTAATTTGTGTTCCTGAAGATCAAATGTGACAGACTTACCACTCTTCCTCTTGTATCTCGTTATGATGAAGTACGACACGATGTAGAGGGCCGCAAACAGGAGGAAGCAAATCTGAAAATGATAACATTAGAGTCTTTAAAGGCTTATAGTTTTAGATTCAAAGATGCCATTTCATGCTGATGTGCACAATTCTGCATCAACACAGTGACTGAAATTCATAGATTTTTCAGTGTACAAGTTATGGAATATAATCAAGAAATGGTGAGTCACAGTTATTTATTACACCGTCAACAAGTACCTCATAAGAAAGGTATTGTATTAACGTAGTGTTCAAATAGTTTCACAGAGCCCTACTTTCAGTATCACTTCTTTAATTGATTTGTTTTTAACTTGTGTTTCATTTATTCATTATTGTTCATTCTACTTGTCATTTTTAAGTGTCTTACATTTTTAACAGTAAATTAGATTTTGCATTATGCACAAATCAGATAAGTTTTAGTTCAAAAACTTTAACCCACTTAACCTCTAAATTTCAATATTGGCATCAATGCACTGCATAGAACTGTTGCTTTGTTTGAAAGCATTTGCCTATATGAGTTATTCTTTCAAAAAAATGCTGTTTTTATATATCTGCTCAATTCATCAACAGCTCTTCTGTATGAACCATTTCTGTGACATGAATAAAAAGCAGTTTCCTACTGCATCTGTATTTTTATTATCTAACTGCACAAATTAGGTTACAGACTCTAAACAAGATGGGTACCAGTACTTTTACAGAACGATCATATTCCACATTCCCATCTCCAACTGGGACACCGACCAGGATATAACAACCGATAATGATAGAAGCCCCCACCTCAGCACTTTGCAGCTAGTCAACATTGCACAAATCATTCTGGCCAAGCTGAGATGACCCAGACAAACTGTATAGTTTTTCAGACAAATTGATAGAGAGAAATGACAAATATTTTAGGACAATCTGCGAGTAATGGACTACAGACCCTGTGTAACACTGGGTGCCAAAAGACATCTGTGGTACTACAGAGCAAAAACCAAAATAACTGGACAATGCTGATAAACTAGCTCGGACAGAAAGACAACAGAAGCAAAAGGAGATAAGTTTTAAGCACACTACTCAACACAACCGCACAAACCCCTCCTCCCATCCTTTATCTACTTAAGAAAATCACAATCTAAACATAGGAAAACAACATATATACATTAGGGTTGTTGCAAATAGTTATACAAGCATACACTTAGTAACATAACATTCCACACCTTTATGATGCATATTTAATAAAGGCTAAAGCATAGTTTGTTAATTGTTCTATTTAAGATAATTAGCCACTTTTAAATCATATAAATGGTTAGACAGAAAACACTTCATATATCATAAGAAACATGTAAGCAAGCAACATCAGCTTTACTAAATGGTTAATGTAACCTGATAATCAAAGCTACATTTTTGCCCATGTATCAAATAAGTGTGTAATATTGTTGCACTGGTTCTGAAATCAAGACAAAAAAAAACTAAACGGTTTTGTTCAACATGGCTACAAAATCTTTGCTAGAAAAAGTACCAGCAAGTGAAAGCCTGATAAAGTCACAGCACTGTTTGAATGTGGCAAGAAAATGAAATAAGTGGTCACACCATCCTTGTGACATTTATGTTGCCTTAGCCCAATTTGTCACAATGACTTGATTCTGTGTATTCCTGGCAAACACATTCATGGCATATTTTATTAACCAAGTCCACTGTGGAGAAAAAAAAATGTCCTGGATTCATTGAAAAATAATCATCTTGTCATCGAGTCATGTTTACCAACTTTAAAACCTAACCTCGAGTAAACCTGGACTACAAAATTAGCTTATGTAACAACAACTATACCAGCTCCAAATTTGCTAGCTCACCTTAACACTACTGCTAAATGATACACCGACATCACAGCATCATGCAGCTTGATTGGCTATGGGCATGTTGATATGGGATACTGAGAAGTAAATGTAGACATGCTTAGGACAACATGTACAAGTTAAAGCTGGAAGGTTAAGTTTGCATGCTGCAGAAACATTTGATAGCTTATGTAAATGTTTTTCAGAAATAATCAAGTATTAATCCAGACAATGTGCTCCCACTTTAACTTTTTACCTAATTTATATAGTTTTATTGAATACATAGAGGAAGATGAGTAAAGTCCATTATGAAGGCAAGTTAGGTTAGTAAAAGTTGTCAAATTGTGCAAAAATCAATATACTGTATAAGCAAAATGCAAAAAATCATAGATAAGAGATCTATTTAACAGAAAAATTGTAAGTAGAAAGTACTATAAGCAGGATTTTGTTTTTGATAAAAATGTAAACGCTATTAGAAATTACAACAAAAAAAGTAGTTTCAAGATCTTATGTTGTGTTTAAATTATTTTAAAATGAATATAGTGTTTGATACATCATTCTGTCAGCTCAGTTAGCAGTCAGTAAAGTCTTTAAATTAAATAATACAACAGATTGTGGGAAAACAAATCTCAAAAACTGACACCTCAGTTCAAGAGCATAAGAATGTGTTGACAATAATTTATATTCAACTTTGACTGAAGTATCTTTCAGTAACAACTCGATTTAAGCTTCTTACTTAGAATATTGTTTTATACTTTTTTTATTACTAGTAAACACATTCATGGTGTAAACTAGGTAAAATATATTTAAAAAATAAACCATTATTCCTCGGAATAAACAAAAGTTTTCTTAATGGATTATATGACTATGACATTATTTCTAAATCAAACTGTAAAGTCTTCCATTGACACAAAATAAATTAAAATTTAAATACTATATTACAAAAATCCCGTGTTATATAAACAATGACATTACTTGAAATAAGTCTGGTTTATTTAAAACCCAGCTACAGTAATGACTTTCGTTGTGAACATGTTTAATTAGATAGCTGCTAACGTCAAAGTTATCTCATTTTTTTACGGTGTCGTAAATTGGGTTTAGTTTTTCAATGAATGGCTTGCAAATTAAATTAGAGCTAAACGTGTTTTAGTATGCGCTCTTAAATGAAGCATTAAATGTTGCTAAAGAAGCTAATGCTAACTCCGGTTGAAATGTAGCAGTGTGTTAGCGAGCTAGCTTACGATGTACTCCCGAACTTGGCTGTGAAAATTCTGTTCCCTGATAGTAACATCGTCTTCTTCCATTCTTCATATTGCAACTAAAAAGAAGCTACAGTTTGTATACATTCTAGCTTGGACAACAGACAAATCACCAGCTCTTTCTCTGCTCGCTCCGTACAAACTGTTTTTACTGGACGGCTTACATCAAACGCTACGCATCATTTATATACCAAAGTAAGTTGTGGAGCACAATATTGGCGGCGTTTGCACACTAAAAATACGTAAATTCATATTCTATATTTTTGGCTGTATACATTTAGCTGAGGCGATTTTTAATATTTTCCTATAGTATATATTTCTGTTCATGACACAAATAAAAGTAAATCAAGCTGTCTGGCTGTCCGTGGGTTCAGATGACCTTCAACTCCTCCCTCACCGCTCTTAGCACTTTAAGACGAGTCATGCGCCGGCAAACAAAACCGAGCAAATCTAGTTTACGTCAAAATGGATCAACTGAAGAAAAAAACGCCCAAAATAAAATACGTCATCTTTCTGCGTCCATTTGGACGCGTACTCTGGAAGAAAATAGTCACATGTTTTAAAAATACTGTCCTGGAGGTACAGTACATGTGCAATGTCAGGTATTTGATTTCTGGGTAGGAACATTTTTACATTTTGTGCTACTTCTGTCGACCGTTTCAAATTATTTCAGACATTTTTGCTTTCCAAAAGATTGGTGAACGTTGACGCTGTCAAGCTAACTTTACCCTGCTGTTGAAATGAAAGAAAAAAGGAGACCAAACACCAAAAAGAAGAAGGGGAATGTGGTCTTACAGAAGTGCATGGTGGCAGTTGATGAGTTCGTTAAAAGAAAAAGCTGTGTGGAAGATGCAGAAGGTGATCAAGACGGTTTCAGATTTGTCAAAAAGAAGAGTAGAAAGGAACTACGCAAAGAGAAGCGACAACTGAAAAAAGCCAAGATGAAAAGTCATTACGAGGGCAAAACGAATGTCTTTTTAACCCCTGCTGATGCTGAAAACCCAGAAATAAAAGCTAAAAAACAACTAGAAGTGCAGAAGAAAATTGAAAAGACGAGAAAGGAAGAGAGTAAAATATTTCCCAGCAAGCTTGCTCAAGTTCCTACAGGAAAATCAGTCTCGTTTTCAAAATCATCCATCAAAAAAGGTAAGCAAGTAAACAAGCTTCAAGAGTCAAGAAAAATGGCATTAATGGAGGCTAATGAACAAGAAGACAGAGAGATCAAGAAGCTCGAGCAATGCCTCGGGCTTAATAAGAGGAAGAATAAAAAGAGTCTTCCACAGTCTTTTGTGAGTGATGGACTTGATTACATCCTGGGTGTGCTGGACTCCAGCCCATCAGTGGTGGGAATGCACAACGCTGCTGATGATGATGACGATTGTGACATGGCCAGAGAGAACTTTAAAAAGCTTGAAGAAGATGACTCGGCCATGTCAGATAAAGAAGAAGAACCTGAACATGAAATTATGAGTGCAGGCAGTGATGATGAGGACAAAGAGGAAAGTGGGGATGATTCTGGTGAAGAGATGAGTGGGGTTGAGGAAGAAGAAAGTGAGGCTGATAATGTAGAAGAGGAGGAAGAAGAAATGGATGATGGTAACGATGAGCTGAATGACAGCAACGATGTTAATCCAGATGATGAGAGTGAGGAGGAAACGAAAGAAGAAACTGTGAGTTCAGATGTTAAATCATCATAACATGGACTTCTTGCATGCTACGCTATTTATTGATCTAATAAGTAAATCTTTCTGATGTTAAGGTCGCCACAACATCAGGAAAGTATGTGCCTCCTCATCTGCGCAACACTGGAGATGATAAACGCAAAGCTGAGCTGGAAAAACTGAGAAGGAACGTGAAAGGCCTGATGAACAGGTAGTATTTCTGCCACTTCTCTGAGTAGTCAAGGAAGGATTTGCTTATAAAATTAATTAAAGTAGAAAGATGTTCATTTTAAAATGAATCAGTTGGAATCAATTAATCATTTGGCATTTAAGTGCCCCAAAACTAACAAAAAAATACAATCACTAAGTTAAACAGTGGGTTAAAATTACCAAAATATGACCCGAAATTAAGACGTAAGTCCTTAAAAATCCACCTTAGTATCGATTTGGATCCAAAAAACAAATGGCATATATTTATTAGTGGGATGTTATTCTCCATTTTAATAATAGGGTCAAAATACAGAGGCAATAAAAGGATTTTAGAAACTATTTTTGAAGAGTTTTTAGATTACCATTTCACTAACAGTTTTAAAATCGGCATAGACCGTGTTCTTACACAATTTGCAACTGTTTTCAGACTAAGTGAACCCAACATGGCCTACATCTGCGGTCAGCTGGAGGAGCTGTATATGAGCTGCAGCAGGAAGGACATGAATGACACTTTGACCGAGGTGCTGCTGGCGGCCTGCGTCACTCCGACCCTGATGCCTGATCGACTGCTAATGGAGCATGTGCTGCTTGTTAGCATCCTTCATCATGCTGTGGGGCTGGAGGTAAAGATACACAATCTATTTATTTCAAGGATTTTCAATTATCATCAGTGAGAAAATCAACATTTTGTTCGTTTCAGTCCATACTGCTATGTCTAAGGAGTTCAAGAAGGTTTCATCTACCCGAGCAGCTCAAAATCTAATTATTCTTTGGTTTTAATATTGTGTTATTAACATAAAGACATTCACTTTCTTGTATTTGCAACTTATGTTTTTATGTTTTAAACCAAAGCAGTAGCTGTCGTCACATTTTGTTCCTATTCCAGGTGGGAGCCCATTTTCTTGAGACGGTCGTCCGCATGTTTCACGAGACGTACAGGAGCTCCAGTGAGGGCAAAGAATGCGAGAACCTCATCGCCATCGTCGCTCACCTCTACAACTTTCAGGTGGTGCATTCCGTCCTCATCTTCGACATACTGAAGCTGCTGGCGGAAACGTTTACTGAGAAGGACATCGAGCTGATTCTGTTCACGCTGAAGAATGTCGGCTTCAGCCTGAGGAAGGACGACGCTCTAGCTCTCAAAGAGCTCATCTCTGAGGCTCAGCGTAAGGCTAGCGACGTGGGATCACATTTCAAGGATCAGACCAGGGTAGGCCAATAAAAAATAATTTACCTTCACATATAGTACATTTTCACAACGTGGCATTTATATGATTGGCTACTTGAAAATGTAACTTTTGCAAATTTGTCCCAAGGTTCGTTTCATGCTGGAAACCATGTTGGCTTTAAAGAACAACAACATGAGGAAGATCCCGGGGTATAATCCTGAACCTGTGGAGAGACTGAGGAAGCTACAGAGGACTCTGGTGGGTATACTGGGTTTGACCCATCCTTTTGGCTTCACAATGTGTCAAAAACAAAGTGTATGGTGTTGGGGTCCAAACATTCTGTCAGACTAACTCAAATGTTGCGTATTTCTTTAAATGGACAACCAATAGAATAAGTTAAAAAGGCTAAACTGCTGGGAGTTTTAATAGATCAAATTCTATCATACTTTACCTCTTCCTACCCCTTTTCAGACATGTTAAATGGGATTTATGTGTGTGTATGTATATAGGTATGTATACATTGATAGGTGTGTGCACATTGGGTACCGTATTTTCCGGTGTTTAAGTCGACGTTTTTTGCATAGATTTGCCAGTTCTGCAACTTATACGCTGAAGCGACTTATATACATTATTTTGTTGTTGTTGTTTTTTTTTGTTTGTTTTTTTTTTCCATATTCGTAACGCAATTTTAGACTGATGGTTTAAATGTCGAAGAACTGCAACTGCGAGTCCTTTCGTGCACACTCTATTCACTCAGCTGGTGAAGGCAGAGGAATGCTGGAGAGCTAATAGCTCCGGCCGCGATGGATAGCACCGTGCTGCCCAAGTGAAATGAAGCTGTTGTGACCATTAAATAAACACGATGGGTCAGCAGTGATACATAATACATGTGACTTGTACGCCGAAGCGACATATATGTTTTTGTCTTCTTCATGATCCTTTTTTTGACTGATGCGACTTATACGCTGGAAAATACAGCATATACTTATTTTATAGATTTGTTTATTTTGTGTGCGTTCAGTCAAAACAGATGCATTTACTGATATAAATTTATTTTACAAGAGGTTCTATATGTTTAAATGTGTGTATAGGTGTAGGTATATATATATATATATATATATATGTATATGTATGTATATGTATATATATGTATATGTATATATATATATATATATGTATATATATATATATATGTATATGTATAAGTGTATATGTATATGTATATATATATATGTATATATATGTATATGTATAAGTGTATATGTATATGTATATATATGTATATGTATATATATATATATATATATATATATATATGTGTGTATATGTATATGTGTGTGTATATATATATGTATGTATATATATATATGTGTGTATATGTATATGTGTGTGTATATATATAT